AAACTTTGCCTATGGTTTTTTTTCCACTAGAGTGGCGGGCGTCGAGAGGTAGTGGCAATTCTCTTAACTCGTTTCTGTAGTGATAGGAATAAAAAATACCACACACAAAAAACGTGAGATATGATAAGTATAAATAAAAAATGTTTAGTACAACGCTCCATTCTCTATGTTCTTACGAAGAAGTACTAGCTGCGCCAGGATTTATGGTAGCACTTCGCATGGCTATTTGTATTGGCCTATTTGATATATTTGGTGTGACAAAGTATTTGCCTTGTTTGCCTGTTCGACAAATACAGCAAACACCAAACTCGCGTTGTCGGGCGCTGGTTAGTGTCTCGACGCGTGTCAAACGAGTCAAATAGGTAATTTTTTTTTATACCATCAAGTGACGGGTCGAACACGTCGTGTGTCCGATGGTAAGCTACACACCTGTCTATAACAGTTACAGTACTACTCAGAGCTTTACATCGCAAAAATCTGAGGGGTACTACCACTACGCCTGTCACCCTGTGACAAGTTGACAAGTCTGTAATTTGATCAGCACCCCTTACCCTTCAAAACCGGAACACAGTAATGCTGACATTACTGCTTGGCGGCAGAAATACACTTCCCTTACTTCCCTGGACGAACTCTTTCACAATAATAAATAAACATGCAAGTAAACTGTCCGCATTATGGTCATATTAATTATTTTAATTCCTTATTTGGCTCGATGTGTATACGGTCATGTTTGTCAATGTTTGCATGTTTGTCTGTACGTTAAATATTTTTCCAAGTACATCAAACCCTCTATAGCGAATACAAGTAGCCACGTGAAGTGCAACCATTAGAGATTTTTACGTGAATTTATTTCAGGTAATTACACACTAGAGGTAAACCAAATATCATCTCATTGTCTAAATCGTGTCACCACGTAAGTCATGACTCACGAATTCATTTAAAATTAAGTTACAGTGTCAATGTTGCTAGAAAGACGTTAGTCTCTTTAATATGATTCACTATAGGAGCACCCACACTGCGCTGTTCTTCAAAACAAGTCACTGCGAGAGCGTGCTACTGCAGACATGTCGCACGTCACGTACCGCCATAAATATAATGTTAATAACATCGCCGACAAGCTATTCTGACCCGAAAACAAATTGCCTTCCTAAATTCTTCATCCAACTTTCAGATACGTAACTTTTTTTGAACAAACTTTTCCTGATTCATTTCAAATCTACATTGTGACGCCACTGTAAAGTAGCAATCCAATTGAATTTTCCGTTTTCTACAAGAATATTCTTAGATATAATTTCTCTATTGTGATGCAAACCCTTTTCTTACCACCACCTAGTAACGTTTGTAATGATAGCCATATACAAAAAAAATCTCATCATCATCAAAATGTCGTCTATTAACATACTTACGATTCTAGTGTGGTTGATTAGAATAAATTGAATTAAAAACTAACTTTAAGATCATTAGGGATCAGCTGCTAATTCTGTTTTTCTTAAAGATTGAAAATTTTCATATCATACCCTCATCTATCATGAGAAAACTCAAATTTCGGGTGAGCAATTATTATGAGCGGCCATCATCTTGTTTGCTAATATACCTTAATGAAACCGCATGCTTATGCTTCAGCAGTAATCGATAACAAATATTAATTAACACAATTCAAAAAAAAAAATACAGATTGTTTTTAAAAATCGGGTTTTTTGCCTTTGCATAGGTTTCAGTAATATCACAAGCTCATATCTTCTGTTAAAACTTATGTCATTGCCCGAGAAACAAAATGAACTCCAGGATTTTGTAGCAGTAGAGCTCCTTGTGAAAGAGTTATTCCAGGGAAGTAATGTGAGTATTACTGTGTACCAATTTTGAAGGGTAAGGGTGCTGATGAAATTACAGGTACATGAGACTTGTTAACTTATGTCCACTGCTCTGATCACCCTGAGGTGATCAGAGCAGTGGCAGTGCCGCTCAGATCTTCGCAAGTTAAAGCTCTATGTAGCATTGTAACTGTTATGGACAGGCGTGTCGCTACGTGATCAGGCGCCCTGCTCGTTCGTCCCGACACTTTGTCATCTTTGAAAAGAAACTCCAAGGTACAATTAAAAACAACTTGAAAAAAAGAGACGAACCAATATTATTGAATATCATGATATTTTACTACCATGATATTAAGATAAGATTGGCGGTGGCTCCAGCATTGTAACAGACATTGGTTCAAATCCAGTCAGGTCAAATAATTAATCTTGGTATTCGATCGATCTTTGTACCAACAGTAACAACAGACTTGAACCAATTAAGAAAATACTTTCAAATACCTTCGACGTTGAGGCGAAATTGTGAACAGACGCCAAACCATCCTACATTTTTATAATCAACCTAGAATTCAAACTGGAAAACCATCCATAAATTTCAGAACGCTCTACCGCTGCGTCATCGAAGTCTCCAAATGTTGGTTTACTGTATCGTCATCAAGCTATGCCTAGGTAATAAGATGATCGATGGGCATCTCGCGCCACCGCATCGTTACAAGGCTTTAAGGGCCCTAGACAGCAGCGCGCAGCCCGTAGATCCGGGGTTTACATTCAACAGAGATTGCTTAGCTCCGGAATAAACATGCTTTATGGGAAACACGACACTCAGCGGTGACGGATCGATTGAGGAGGATAGGCACACAGTTTCTCGTGTGGCCGTTTTCAAGCCGAGGGTAAGATAAGGGATAATTAAATCTGAAGAAAATTAAAGAAGAAATTAGTTTTTTCTCAACAGTTTTTGAAGGAGTAGCAGTCGCTTGCACGTAGCGCAGTTACAACAAATGTCTATTCAGTCCGCGACACAGGGTTTTTCCTAGTGCGGGACTAATAAAAAAAAATAATCTCCCAAAATTGTAAAATACTTTACATACATTTGATGATTTGATTTACATAAACCTACACAATATTGACATACGTGACTTTCCCATGTGGATGTATATATCTTCTAAGTATTCCATATTAACAAAAAAAATTAATAGTCGACTTTGAAGTCAAACAACATCAGGTAAACAATAGATATTTGAATTCCGTCGGTCTGTGGCGTTTTTATCTCCCCACATCAGTGGCTCCGTTTCCGATTGAATCGATTCAGACTTAAGGTAACCTTCAAAATATATCTAGGTAATAGGCAAAATTTTTACCCCTCCAAATAAAGCCTTGGTTTTACGTTTAAAATGTATATTTTCAGATTTTTCTCTTACTTGATTATCAAACTATGTTACGTGTACAAAATTTGTGAGATGGTTTTGTTGTTTACGACTCCGGTAAATCTTGAAGAATTTTTGTCACACGTAATAAAACTAAGTGTATCGACACTGATTTATTGCATACCTACTTCTTTCTATAGATAGGTGATCTATAGTTTGTGTGCATAAAGGTTTATAAAGACTTTAAGCAAGTGACTCAATCTCAAAATGGTTTGTGGTTACGCCTTTTGATTACAGATTATTCAACTGGAAAACCTTGTTTGATAACTTTTTATACCATTTCGTGTACAATTAACTTTTTACATCAATCTTCTTAAAACATTTTCTTCATAACTGTTCTAAATATACACTTTCATGTTTGTTTCCTTCATGGACGATAGTAAGGATCCAGTGAGCCGTGAACATAAAGGGCCCGAATCGTTGGTTTGTTTGAAAAAAGAAATATACGCGATTTTGATTTAAAAAATTGTTTCATTTTCAATATGTAATGATCACCAAAACATGCTTTATATCACTTCGGGTTTTTAAAACATTACTTATCTTTTACCCGTAATTACAACATGTCGTGTTGTAAGACAATTTTCATTGTTTACTTAAAATTTAAGGCTAATCTACGTCCTAAAGAGTTTCAATTAAGAAGCTCACAACCCATTAATTTTGTAGAACGACTTACTTCCAGTCTACTTTCCGCGGATTAAAAGCTATGAGGTTCGCGTTTCGGTTTTATTCATTTTTATTAAAGTATCATGTCTTAGCGAAGGTCCAACTTTTATAAGTTTCGTACACGGATAAAATTTGCGGTCTGGGAACATTAATTAAGAAGTTTTTACGTAGCTGGCGGTATTTGTTTTATTTTATAAGTGTGACCGGAATTTACAGCGTGATTTTCATTATCAGCGTTCTCGTACGACTGTTTTTTGAATGTAAAGCTGCTGCAGACTAATTATTTTTACATAAAATTCGACCAAAAAAAATGCACTTCAGAACATCTAATGGTGGTGTTTCACATAGCAATTTGTATTTGCCTGTTTGATATATTTGGAAAAACAGTCACCATGTGTAGATAGCATGTGTGCCAAAGTATTTACCTTGCTTGCCTATTCTACAAATACAGCAAACACCAAACTCGCGTTACCGCGCGCTGGTCATTTTCTCGATGCACATCGAAGGAGCCAAATAGGCAAATACGTAAGTATATCGTCCACACTATGGTCATTTTCATTAATTTAACTCCTTATTTGGCTCAACTAGTAGAATATTTGTCAATGTCTGTATGTTTGTCTTGTTCGTCAAATAGTTTTCCAACTCCATCAAACACCGAATAGCGAATACAAGTAGCGATGTGAAGAGCCGCCATAAAATTAACCCGATGACTCAAGTTTCATAAATTCTCCATTGGGCATCGGTTACAAAGTTCTGGACATTGACAAATGTTAGTGCTATAAATCGCTCAACGGCTGTAGACGCCCTTAAACTCGCACGATGATTGCCTGATCTCTGTTTGAAAGCTAATCAAGATAGATTACACTGTCGCAATGTAACGTAACTTAATGCTATATTGAAAAGGTTAGGACGTCAGTCTACAAAATATTATTGAGATAATTGTTCTGTTTTGTGATTTGCATTTACAATTTGCGCCCGATAACCAAAAACTAAAAGTAGAGTTATGTAGTAGAATTCCAAAAGTCAACATCAAGCATTTAACTTCTCTTAGAAAAAGGACCAAAAAGAAAACAGTTCTGAAATAGTAAATGCATCTTTAACTCACCGGATTTAGAAACCCTGTACCGCAATCCCCGTCCACCTTTTGGATGACATCGATTGTACGTGGTGAATTCTGCGTAATTGTTGTTCACACGGCTGTACTCTGCAAGGTGGCGGTTCCCGTCCAAATGGTTTGGAAGGGACCTGTTCCAGGCCATGTCGCCAACAACGGATCCGCATACTGACGATTCCGTTTGGCTTTTCGAGTCGCCATTGCAAAGGTCGCCGCTGGATCTGGCGCGACGTCCTTTCAGACCCTTGGCCGAATGCTGGCTGATGTTCGAGCCCATAGCGTGGCGGGACCTCACGTGGGTCCCGCCGCCTGCATTGCGCCGCCCTTCTGATGTTGACTGCTCTCTATCTTCTCTGCAGGTGTTTAGATCTACAAAGAAAAGAAATGCATTAAACTTTAAGAAACCTAAACCTAATTTTTTCAATACTGCTATTGAAATGGATGAGATTTATTGTAAATTGACGTGTTGTATGTAAAACATTTCTGAACAGAAATAATATTCGCTAGGTTTCTTCCACTACACATTATATGAACACGTGTCTATTGTTATTGCGTTATATAAAGGACAAGGCTTTTCCCAGTGAGTCAGCTACTGCAATTTCCAACCAAGTATATTTAACTCTTACAACTGGTAGCTTTTTGTGCAAATTCTCGTTACGAGACAGTTATTACCGCGTTCTGAGGAAACTGGAGGCTCGGTTTGAGATTTCTTCAAGTTTTAATACAAGAATTCTACACAAAGCCTACACAATGCGCCATGTATAACACGGATACAGATTTAATCTTCAGATTTAACACTTTTGCTTAAAGAAAAAAACACGTGCGGGGCCTCGAGTGAGATATCTCCGGTTTGGCCTTGAGATCGCGATTACCGCAAACAATGTGGTTACAGCATAATTTTTAAATGCTCATGATGAGAGAGACTTGGAGGATTTCGAAAAAAATTTAATGACATCTTTTGTGAATTGATAAAAGTAATTCGAGTTTCAAAACTCTGGGAACTGTTTAAGCGCATCAAAAATTTTACTTATAGGGAGCGTAGACGATTATTTGTATTTATTTGATCATCAAAACTTGAAGCCTCTCAAAACAGAGCGAAACTTTTTTACTCATTAAATGTTTACTTACATCCCAGGGCTCATTACGGGGTCATAATCTGTGAAATTTCAGAAACGTTTCGCTGTGTGACGAGCATCCGAAGACTTTAATGAATCTCGCAATCTGACTTGACTTCATTAGCGTTTGCTCGCTAAAGTTCGGTAATATAAGACTGTCGAATTTTGGCACAATTGTGTGAAGATACATTGTTTTCTGTATTGTTACTATATGTTCAATATGTTTACATAAACGCACACACACAATTTTTTGGTAATAATTCACTATAAATGACGCTGACGTGGTACTGATGTTTACGTTTGTAACTCATACGGTGCATGTAAAAGAGAAACGCATTTTATCTGTATTATGACATGCATTCTTTCAGATATTACAAATGCGAAACCAACAAATTAGTTTTTAACATGTAAACATCACTTCTTATAGACGTGTTTCGTAACACTGGCGTTTGTTCCAAACAGTAAAGAGTCACGGTATATTAAATCTGTGTACAGAGGCAGTTTTTTTCACAAACACAAAATCTACGGTTAAAAATAATTCCCGGAGCGTAGTGCACACGGCGTGAAGCGGAACGGACATGGCAGTTTAGTAATAATCCAGGAAGGTTTGGCACTTGTGATACAAAATACTTGGAAAATATACGGCGAATACTGCCCTAAGTAAAAAGATATTTTACGAATGTTGCCAACTGTGGCTGTCTGAAATATTGAGGTCCCTAAATTGTATTTACGTTTTATAGTTTATATAGAACTAGAAACGGCCCTAGATGTTCCTCGAGATGTAATATTTTATGTCGCATTTTACATAAGTAAAAAGGTAGGTAATCGTTTTTTCAGAGTTCTACCACGACACCGTTTTTAAGATCAACTAGTACATTTCGGAAGAGAAATTACACAAATGAAACAATGGTAAACATAAAATAAAGAAAAGTTATAATTATTAATAATAACGATGGAAAATAAAAAAAAATTCCTTCGACCTGACAGGACTCGAACCTGTGTCTGTTTTGCCAATCTAGGGCAACCGCTCTACCAACTGTGCTGCAGATCAAATCAGCAGACCTTACGAAAAAAAAGAGTTCGTCCAGTGAAGTACTGCCACCTTATCTATTTCTGCTGCAAAGCAGTAATGTCAGCATTACTGTGTTACGGTTTCGAAAGGTAAGGGTGCTGGTGAAATTACAGGCACATTTTTGGTTTTTAACCGCTTTTTTACCGTAGCGTAGTATTAATAATTATAAAAAACTAGCGGAATACTTTCACAAAAAAATTAATTAATGTCATTGTAGTAAAACTTAATAATATTAATTAAAAATCAATATTACAAAGAAAGGTTGTTATTTTTCGATGTAAGTCTTACATAGTTGCATTGGAATATGTGATTATGGTACTACTTAACAGACAAAATAACTTATATGTTGAAATAATAGATAGGTTAGCTTACAGTTTCTTTTTATTGTGACATTTGACAGCGTTCGAAAAGGTTTAGAACGTCTTTGTCTACACTATCTACAACAGGTATTATTCATCATCATCATCATTAATAACCCATTATACGTTCCACTGCCGGGCACAGGAGAGTGTTCAGGTCATTTATTTTTATTGCAATAAATAAGAGCGAATTTCACCTGATAGAAAGTGACGATGAGGTCGCCGATGAAGCATGCACACCTATATTTATTCTCGCCTTGAAAAGGCCCAATTTATAATGTTCAAGGAAGAGTTAGTGAGATGTAAAGTTTAATTTTTGAATTAAATTCATAGATGCAAGCCGTCACAGGGATTCGAGTCGTCGACCTCCCAAATGCATTGCAGCAACCGTTCTTCCATTGGGTTACCACCGCCTTTACACGCGTTTATAAACCATTTCCTATTAACCAGACGGTCTGCTGTTCTAGGAATTGGGTATGTAATACATAGTTTGCCTAGGACTGGCCTTAAATTTCTATGAAGCTCCGGAACTGCGATCTAGCTTGTGAAAGGGTAGGAAGTTCAGTGACGTGAATTGATGGCCTTAATGTTACTTATGGAAACACCAAGTTGTCTTTGAATAGGACAGGTTTGTATAAACGAGATTTTCGTGTGGGTAGCGCTCACAATGACTCCTACAAAAAATTGCCATTCACAATGCTTTCTTTTGCGTGGCATAATTAGCGGATTCTTAAATTATTTTTTCTGGAATATCATTTAATTTTTTTATTCCAAGTGACGGAACGAACAGGTCGTGCGCCTGGTAGTAAATGATACGGCTGTCCATAACAATGCCGCTCAGAGTTTTAAATCACAAAGGTCTAAGGGGCACATATCATTCATTGTTGGTAGGACACACTGTTCACTGTACAAGACACGGGTCTTTAGGTGTTGGGATATCTTTTCTGACCGAAGGATATTTTCTATAGTCTGTCTTTTTTGAAGACGGAGTAAAATGACAGTTCATTGCGCGAAAGTGTTGCCTGCTTTCGAGCAGCTATTGATTGTTGTCGATAAATATTCTATCGATTATCGACTGGGTATTGCTCACGCTTACGGAATAAATAGCCGAATTTGTTTCATTTGAATCATCCTCGACCAATTACTCATCCAATTACTGATCACAAGTTCATTTGAATTGTCAATTTTTGTAAGTTCATACATACAAAATATAATGTATTTAGAACCATGTCTATGAAAAGTACGAAGAGGACACATATTTTACAGTTTTTCATTTTAATGCAATATAGATAATTAAACCCGGCTATTCTTGTTAAAATGTATACGAATAAAAATTGATCTCGATATTAGTAGGCCAACTGTCAAAATAAGAATAAAGAATGCAATAACGCAATTAGTAATCATTAGAACCGAACCATCGTAACATTCACAATTCAGACATTTTTGGCTTCAAAATTCAGACATCAAAATTTTATCTTCGTTCATAATCTATCGATAAAACTATCGACAACAACTACGTAACTATTTAAAATTTTATGAAAACCGACAACCCAACAAATGTCGTTTTACTCCGACTTCAAAAAAGACCGGCTACAGTTTTCGGAAACCTATCCATCCAAGCTGTGATCTCTTTGTCCGGATGCACCTTGCCGAAAGATAGCACATGTTCAAGATAAACGTATTTGCCTACCATCTCTAGCTTCCACCTTCCAACTACAACAGGTGGATTTGAGATTCCAGAGGTACTGATTATGTCCTTCATATTGGACATATTCATCTTTTGACCGCATCGTTAAGCTCTATGAGTATTTTTTGGAGATCATCTGGTGACGGGTGGATGGAGAAAAAATATATTACCAATTTTTGTAAAATTCTTCGAATTAATAAATCGTCACTGTCTATGTGAAAGCAAACTCGCCAAGATATCACAATGTAGATACTCAACGGATGTAATGTGTTTAGGGTTCTGTAGTCAGACTAGGAATCATTATGGTTCGTCCTTCCGTCCATTTTTTTTCCCAGCCGTATTACTCACTCGTTCATGCGTCATCATCATGTTTGCCTTTGTCATAAGCTTATATTTCTTAATTTTATTTATTTATGGCTATGCTAATGCGTTGGGCAAGGTAGCTGCCGGCCCTTGGGTATCCCAGACAATCTATAAATTTTTTGGATAAAATTTTGTACAGATAAAGGGACACCACGGACCAGGCTTATATTGATACTTAAAAACAGAAATGAGAATTACAGTGATTTTCGAAAAAGCAGTTTTTAAAATTTAAGTAGCTTTTATTGCACAACATTTAGAATAGAACGTGAATAAGGGGAATTACGAAACTGCGACGGAATCCTATCATGAACGTTACTGTCACGTTCTTGGCTGTTTTTTTTAAACTTAACATTTGCTTTACGAGTTAAACGTGACGCTACAATGCACAGGGCAAGCGCAAACAATGTGACTTCCTTTACGCAGCCGATCTTTCCTCCCATCGAATAGAATAAAACAAAACAAATGGAACAAGAACAAAGTACATGGCGCCTTTTGTTTGTTGTTAAAACGAAAAAATGTCAGGCGCACTTGAAAGCGTCCTTTTTTAATATAAAAAGAAGGATTTTGCTCACGCTATTTCGGTTCAAATGTTGGTAGTTTTAAACTTTCGCTTTGTTTTTCAGATGCGTGTTTTAAAAATTGCATTTTTAATGTAACTAACAAACTGTTACTCTAATTAAATCCAATTTCTTATGGAATTGGTTTCTTTTTCTAATATCACGTGAAAAAAAACGTGGTAGCCTTACGGTTTGACCTACCGTCTCTGAAGCAGA